ATGTATAATATCAAAATCAAGAAAAGAAATAAAAGATTAAAAAAATTATAATAATATTTACTTAGTTCATTGAGTGGCTTAAGTTGATTTATATTTGCAGTAGAAGCAGAATCCATTTAATGCTGAATGAAAAAAAAGTAACAGTTGTTAGTTCATAAACAAATCTAAAAACCTAATTTTATATGGTCTAGGTATAGTACCTATAAAAGTTAATAAGTTACTACAGTATAAATTGATGTTTTACAGTAAAGTACTACCTATTATTTATCATTTATAAAAAAAATGTCACTATCAATGACATATAATATTCTAATTTATATTAGAATATTTTATTAACGTATTGTACATTTATGTACACATTAGTATTTCAAGTAAATATATCCATTATATCCATATATCGAATATAATTAACAAATATAAGACCTTGATAGGTAGCTCAAAAGTTAATATTTTGATAAAAATGCATTTTAACAATTAATAGGTTAATCCGAATTCTAAACACTTAAATATGCTAATCAAGCATTATGCATAGATTGCAATGCTTTTAATTTGTTCTTATTTAGTTACTATAGAGTACTTCGAGGAAAAATATTAGTGTAGTTAACAAATTACTAATATCATTGACCTCTGTATTCCTGGATGAAGTCTAAGATATTATTAAACAATGATTTATATTTTTATGAAAAATGTAATGTATATGTTATATAGATTAGAGGTACTAGATTTTTTTCTTAAGTTAAAATGTCTTTACTAGTATGGACACCCTCCTTCCCCCTTAAAAAAATGCTGGTTGTGCCACTGGGGGCAGGGTTTTTTTCCTTTAATAAAGAATTCTTCAAATTTGAACACCAAACAAGTAATAACAATTAGTTATGTATACTAGTATACTATTTAGGCATAAAAAATCAAACAAGAGGTTTACAATATAAAAATAAATAAAGGTTTAAAAAAATGAAACATAACAATAATATAATAGTATATTATTATAGAGCTTATAAGCATTTGGTTATAATAATAGGTATATTACTACTGAATTGGCAGAAAACTGTATCATTTAAGGTTTTATTTGGCAGGGTTAAGCTTTTTACAGGCTTTTCTACAAATATTAGATGTTAGTTCCTCATATAGCTTTACTTATGTAATAAAAACAAAATTATTAATTCTATTGCTTTATTCAATGTAAAAAAATTGAAATCATAGGCGGTCCCAAGAATTTACATCAGGTGCAGCACATTAAATTATAGTATACACATAGGCATGTACTTATATCCAAGTTAATATAAGAAAAAATAAATTAAGTTAAAAGTTAACTATAGTATTTTTTATAACTTCGTTAAGCTAAAAATTAATGAATAAAAAAATTAATTAAGTTAAAATTAACTTAATAATAAATTTAATTAATTTAGAATCTGTAAGAAAAATAGGTTACCTACAAGGTACAAAATTAATGACAAATTTGAAAGTTGTGTCAAGTTTAGATTTCTGCACCCATACCATGTAGTATGCTTAGCAATAATTACAGAGGATTTAGGGTGGGCATTTAAAATAGTATAAATAGTAAATACACAAATTATACAAGTTCTACTATTAGCTTCAATATTTTGAATCAGAGCGTTAACAAAGATTTTCAGAAATAATTTTTTCCCCATGAGTTATTTTAATAATTTCAGGTTATAAGTAATAACGTATTTCTCAGGATGTGTGGTGTATGAGTTAAAATGTCACTAGGTTGATTTATGCCTTGGTTTACAAGAAAACTAGTACACGAACATTGCGACCTGTCTACAATTATATGACTGAATACAAAATTAGATTAATTATTTATTAATTATAAATTTTTCCATTTATTTTATATTATATATTTATATCTAATATTTCTTAAGGAATCAAGTTATAAATCAATGGGTTGACTGTATCAAATTTAAAATATAACTTAATTTTAAGAAATCTGTGTATAATTAACTTGAAGTTAACCATTAAATTTGTAAAAAAAAATTAACTTATTAAGTTAAAATTTAGTTTCAAAAAAAAAGTAACGAGTTATTTAACTTAGTTAATACTAACTTAACGTTTTAACTTAATTTTAATTTTTAACTCGTTAACGCCCAGCCTTGCATACACACACACAAATAAACATTTTATTCCATTTTTCTACTTGAAATTTTAAATCCCGTTTTAAATCTTATTTATTTTTATAAACAGTTATGAATAATTATAATTAATATTATTATCTCAACTGATAAAAAAAAAAAACGTGGATGGCGGTTGAAATGTCAGGTGCAGCACAGGCTGCACCCGTAGGACTGCCTATGATTGGAATCACTAAAAAGTTTTAATTAGTTAATACATTGGTTTATTTTACTTACCTATGATAATTTAGCATATACTATATTTGTATAAACAAATCAACTACACTTGTAAGATGTAAACTATGTATTATACATTTATTTATTTTTACATAAGTTCAAAAATATAAGCATCCTGGACATGTATAATTATTTGAATTTTCATAAACAATAATGATACTTAACTAATAAATGTAAGTAATAGGTGTAAAATATAAATGTTAACTGCGGTAAAATTTATCTACAAGTAGTAATTTAAAAAAAAAATACTTAGAAAATTTGTCAAAACTTTAGATTATAACAGGTTAAGGCCGGTTCTTACAATGTCCGATTAAGTGTCCTTTAACTTTAACTGGGCATTGTAAGAAGAGCCCAAAGACATATTTAATATTGATGATTAACAATTCATTAAATTGTATTAAATTTAAAGTCCAATGGAAGTAGTTCAGACACACTTGTCATAACTACATTACTACCCTTGGGTTGATATAAATAAACAATCATGTCATTACTGGGATTATTAAATTCACTTAATACTTGTCTACAAGCACCACAAGGAGGGACAAATTGATTATTGTTCAATCCTGCAATTGCAATTGTAGTGAATTTAGTTTTTCCTTCACTTACAGCTTTCACAATGGCTGTACGTTCAGCACATATTGAGAGCCCATACGAGGCATTTTCTACATTACAGCCTGAAAATACGGTCCCATCATCACATCGTAACGCAGCACCGACTTTGAAGTTGCTGTATGGAACATATGCTTTCTCCCTAACCAGTGTGCACATAGATATTAAAAGTTGATCTTCATTACCTATGAAATAAAATTGCTAAATATGTAATAAAATTTTAAAATTTAAAAATAATCATTAAATCAATTTTATAAAAAAAACTATTAGGCAAGTTACTTAAATGTTTTATTGCATTTATAGGCTATGTATAATATCAAAATCAAGAAAAGAAATAAAAGATTAAAAAAATTATAATAATATTTACTTAGTTCATTGAGTGGCTTAAGTTGATTTATATTTGCAGTAGAAGCAGAATCCATTTAATGCTGAATGAAAAAAAAGTAACAGTTGTTAGTTCATAAACAAATCTAAAAACCTAATTTTATATGGTCTATAGTACCTATAAAAGTTAATAAGTTACTACAGAATAAATTGATGTTTTACAGTAAAGTACTATTAGAATATTTTATTAACGTATTGTACATTTTATGTACACATTAGTATTTCAAGTAAATATATCCATATATCGAATATAATTAACAAATATAAGACCTTGATAGNATGTATAATATCAAAATCAAGAAAAGAAATAAAAGATTAAAAAAATTATAATAATATTTACTTAGTTCATTGAGTGGCTTAAGTTGATTTATATTTGCAGTAGAAGCAGAATCCATTTAATGCTGAATGAAAAAAAAGTAACAGTTGTTAGTTCATAAACAAATCTAAAAACCTAATTTTATATGGTCTAGGTATAGTACCTATAAAAGTTAATAAGTTACTACAGTATAAATTGATGTTTTACAGTAAAGTACTACCTATTATTTATCATTTATAAAAAAAATGTCACTATCAATGACATATAATATTCTAATTTATATTAGAATATTTTATTAACGTATTGTACATTTATGTACACATTAGTATTTCAAGTAAATATATCCATTATATCCATATATCGAATATAATTAACAAATATAAGACCTTGATAGCTCAAAAGTTAATATTTTGATAAAAATGCATTTTAACAATTAATAGGTTAATCCGAATTCTAAACACTTAAATATGCTAATCAAGCATTATGCATAGATTGCAATGCTTTTAATTTGTTCTTATTTAGTTACTATAGAGTACTTCGAGGAAAAATATTAGTGTAGTTAACAAATTACTAATATCATTGACCTCTGTAATCTGAACTAGGGCAGAATGGGCAGATCATGAATGTAGGTAATATGAATGTCGAGTATAGTACTAAACTGTCTATATGGTATATACTATATACTACATGGTGTTTACAATTAATACAGTAACATAAATAATCATTAAACCACAGACCACACTCAAAAGTCATGAAAAAAAAAAAAAAATAGTTGCTATTTACCATTTAGTAAGGAATGCTGATGCCTGATGACCGACACCTAATGGTTATTGCCATATTTTATTCTGTGTTATTATTGCTCAATTTCAATGATAAGAGTACACATATTTTTGAGGGGCAGTATAGGCAATCGACAATATACTCACATGACGTATGTTATTATATATTTATATTAATATTCATTGTTGCATGATTCAATCACGGGCATCTACAGGTGGTCGTGATTTTCTAGGAGGGCATACGCAACCCCTTGCTATTTTAATTATTATTTATCGTTTTATCAGTCAAAAAAGTATATGTGCTGTTATCAGATTTTTGCCCACTGCTGATTTATATTTCTCCAGACATCCTTGAATTCAATGATTGCACAATGCAATTTGCACGAAAACAAAATTTTGTGCACACGCGTAAAGCCGTAAAACACTGTTAGACGATAGTGTTACAAAATTCACGTCCGACGAGGTGGTGGCTAAATAATTTAATCATTACTCAGAGAGAAGGAATATGGCTGATTTTTTGACGTACATTACTTGATTATTAAATATTAAAATTTAAAATTACCTGTTTGTATATATGGCAATTAAGACTATATATAAGTTAACAATTGTTATAAATATTTTAAAAAAAATCATAGGCGGTTCTACTAATATTAATTTTTCAGCAAATACATTTATCATGTATTGTTGTGTAAACAATTGTTGACACATATCAGTCCTTAAAATATCCGAATTTTCGTACTACATACCATATAGTCCCAAATCAGTCAGATCTAAGTTATACATATAGTACCTAACAATAAATAATATAAGAAGAAGTAATAAGTAATTAATGTTTATATTAATAAGCGTATGTTATTAAGTAGGTATGAATAGTATCTGATGGATATATTTTTATATTTCTGGATATTTCAGGGGCGGCCCTGCATACATATTACATTCATATTACGAATCTACTGACAAAAGTCCGGTAAAAGAAGTTCTCTCTATGTATTATATATTTATATGTATTTATTTATAAGTAAACATTTTTCAACTCAAATCAATATTATAAGTACCTACAATAAAAATATGACATTTAAAGCGATCATCCATGTCATATAAGTAATAATATATTATAGTTAGACTCCTATAATGGCTAATACAGTAATACTGAAAGATAATAGGTAGTATTAAGTGGCCAAACTTAAAAAAGTCCCTAACAAACGATGATGCATATTACAAATGTTACGTCAATGTAATGACCAATATAATTATAAATGAAATGCCAACATTTTATATTAAGTCCAATAAGCAATGTATATGCGATTAAAGGAGTTAAAAACTGATTTTTACTCCCGAATTCCAACCTCTTATATTCTATATATCATATAAAACTTTAATATTGTGTACATAAATATATATAATAAATATACCGGACTTTTAGGTAGAATCCCACAATCCGGTAGTGGAATACGTGCAGATTTCCTAATATTATTTAATATTTATTGTCATAAGACCATAATATAAACAATTATAATCTTCTTCTTCTTTTCTTTCATCTTCTCTCCCAACTATTTGGAGTCGGCCACCTTGGTCCTCAATTTCCACTTACTACAATCCCATAGTATCCTCCTCACAAACACCATCCATTCTCATATCGCACTCTATAACTTCAAACCATCTCTTTTTCGGTCTTTCTCTTCCTCTTTTTCCATCCACACTCGTGTTCTTTGTCACTGAAACTGCCACAGTTTTTTCTCTTCTTAGCCATCTCAACCTATTCTCAAACAATTTGTCAACTATTGGAGCCACTCTTTTACTACCTCTTATATACTCATTTCTTATTCTGTCCTCTCTCRTCATTCCACTCATCCACTTTAACATTCTCATCTCCACAACACACATTTTCCTCTCAATTGTTTTATCTATAGCCCAACATTCCGATCCGTACATCATCGCCGGCCTTCTATTACCTTATAAAATTTACCTTTTAACCTGATTGTGATTCTTTTATCGCATAAAACATCTGATGCTTCTCTTGACTTCATCCATTCACACTTAATTATGAATGAATAATATCTTCATAAAAACTTCCATTATTTTGTAATAGTCGTAATAATAACAATATATATTATTTTTACGTCGTTAGTATTTTTAAATAACTGATAAATATTATATATTTTATGGTATTGTGATTTTTGACAGTTGGACGATTTACTAACAACTACTATGTATGTATAGAAAATAATATACACTATTACGTTAAAGAAGACTCTTAAAGTCTTAAATGCATATGAGTTTTCCTGTGCTTTTTATTTTGGACAAAAAGAATATCGGATGACGGAGGTAGTTTGAAAGTTTTATGATGTTCATCAACGCAGTAACGTATCTATATTGCCTATACATTACGCCGCGGCAGTACAACCGTGACTAGTAAGCACAAGCACACATTTTGAATATGCCATAAACTTGAGCACCAGCGTACCACAACTAAGAAATTGTTTTGTTATTTTACTTGATCAGTCCGAGTGACCAATGGTAAGCATTTATATACAAAAACAATATTTTAATTTCCACTGCTAATCTCAAAATACTCATTTGAAGACCTCTTAAAAAATACGATTTTTATAAAATCTTTTATTAGAAGGCTTTTTTACATCATAAAACGAAATTACTGACCTAGAACTGATTATATTTCATACTCATTGGTTTGGCAGTTCCGGATAAACAATGATGAATCAGTAAATCAGGATCAGTTATTTTATTAAATATACTTAGAGATAGATTCATTCATATTTTCCAGACCCTCCCCCCACATTTATCGATTTTGGAGAGACAGTCGTTGTTGGAATTATAAAAGACGAGCCTGTTAAGATTTAAAAGATTARTTACTTACGTTGGGTGACTGTATTGTTTCAGTACAGTATACCATATACCAAGAAAATTTGGATATACCAGTATTTTACAGTTCCTAGTTAATAATTGTTATACATGTTTTACATTGATCTATTATGGGTGAATTTAAAGTTATTGATATTGATATTGAAAATGTTAATTTTTCTTTTATTGTCTATAAATGAAAATCATTATTTTCTGAAATAGCAGTTCAAGAAATTACCTTTTACACAAATTTTACCACAATTTATTTCTGAATTCATTACTCATGAAAAAAAAAAACAATCAAATGCAATAAATTACAAAGTAACTATCTTCAAGACTATTTGCTTATAACTATTAGGACAAAAACAATAATTGTTAAATTACTTATTTCTAGAACTTTGGTATCTATAGACTATAATAGGATTTACAATTTGTTKGATAAATATTAGGTTAATTTTAAAATTAAAAAACAATAATTTTAATAAATATTAATTAGTACTTGACAAAAACATAAATTGGTATATATAATTATGTATATGTTTTTTAAAATAAATTTAAATAATAATCATGTCAATCTAATATTATATTGATATATCATAAATATATTTATATATAGTGATAAATTAAATTATAGGGATCAATAAATAATGTTGATAAATGTAAATATAGGACATTGACAATTATGGGGTAACAACAGTGTACTTCTACACAATTGTAAAATAAATAATAATACAATACTGTACAGTATTTAATTTGTATTTAGTTTTTCCGTTACACCTGTTTTCAATGGACATAAAAAAAAAAAACAAATATTAAAATTTGAATTTTTAATATCATAATCAACACAATATGAATTACACAATCTATACAAGTTYAAGTTTACTGATCTAGGCTATTTTATTCAGTGGTTTGATGATATCTACAATTACCTGTTGTATATCGTATCTCATGTATAGTAATTCTTCGAGTTTCATTCCAAAGCCAAAGTGCAATAAATATTGACCATGTTTTTAATGGACCAAATACAGTAGCTATCCAACCATATGCTCCGAAAAACCATAGACAACACACAATTTGCCAAATTATCAGAAAGAAAAATATTATATCCACATAAATATATGGTGAAGYAATAAGTGTATATTGGGTAAGATGTAATGATTGCATTCTAAAATAATAATATAATTATTTTCATAACTTTGTCAAAGAAACAATTTATAGTTACTTTTTGTCAAGTCGGTGACTAAGTATACAATTCAGAGGCAATTGAAAAGTTAAAATCTAAAACAATAAAAATAGTTAATTAACAAATTATGTTTTTAAACAATCAATTGATCCACTGAAAAACCAACTTACTTGTCCAAAACCATATGCATATATAAAAGAATCCTTTATAAGTTTTCCCTTGACATAAATGCCCCATGGAAAGACCCATCCTATCGAGTCAGTTACAAGTTCTCCAACAGCCCATGGACCTAACCAGAAAAAGTCAATTATGGATATAAAAATTTTAAAGCTTATTATTTTAAGAAATTAATTAATTACCTATGCACAGATAAATGTAAAATAAAAGCAACATGTAAAATATACGATTCACACTTGATAATAAAATCATTTTTCTCGAGTATCTTTTGATCAGTGATAATTTTGCATTATAGTTGATTCTATCTATTAACAAATTCTTTTTTTAATATAAATTTAAATATTTAATGTAAAAAATCATCATGTAATTTTATACACAMTCAAAATAAAATTATCTTATTTCAATTCTACATTGTATTATACTTGAATTAAATTCAAAAGTGTTACATAATTTCATATTACTCACTATCTATACAACTATGCTGAACTCAGATTATAATTTCATAATGACACTTCAATTAATAAATAAATAAAATATTTAGAAGAAATATCAAGAAGTACAGTATTAAAGTATAATAATTAAATACTACACAGAATTATTAGTTTGAGACTGTTTTATTATTTTCTAAAAATTTTAAGTTGTGCTATACTAAAATGTTAGGTATGCTGAAGTAAGAAATTAGAAAAGTACCTAGTGAATGGTACCTGAATCCTCAGGTTATTATTATTCAATTTAATCAATTGAATATTGAATAAATCAGTACGACAATGTAATATCATACTAGTGTTCAACGCGTTTAAGCTAAAACGCCCAAAGTAAAAAAATTAGAAAAATTAGGAAAAGCCAAAAAAAATTTCAAAAATTGAGCTCATTCAGGCTAATATGTCATATGTCTAACATATTGCCTTATAAAAATAATATAGGCAATACTCGATCATTTAAAACGCAGTAAGTCATTGAAAAATGTATGAGTATTAGGTATATATAGCGTAAAATAATTAGACTAAGCAGAATTGGTGTAACTAAAGGCCTTTAGTCTATCAGTGGTCGAAAGAAACTTACTAATTATAGTGATGAGCAAGATGTTGCAAGATGCAACTGTAGATAGCTAAATTATTTTTTGTGATTAAAGAGCTAGAAATTTATAGTTAATGTAGCAAAAATTATCATTAATCTGTTACTATCTATATAATTATAAATTATAATAATGATAATGTATTAGTGTTTTTTTCGGGTTAATCCACAATATTAACTCATAGTCAAATCAGTATAAATCACAAATTTTTAATAAGACTTAAATAAAAAAAAAAAATGTAGTGTCATTTAAACAATAGCATTAGAAGTAGCACTCTACATTTAAAAAAGCAGCAATAGCTAGCTAATTTTTCGTGGGAGTAACTTTAGCGTTATTGCTCTACAAATATTAATACTATCCTAACCAGTGGTAAATATAAAAAATAATAATTTGCAGCATAAATGTAAAATTGTATTACAGTAGAAACTTGATTGACCGTCACTCGATTTACCGTCAGTTTCTGTTATCCGTCATCAGTCACCATCAAAAAAAAGTTAATGAAGCGATCGCGATAAAATCATCATAGTACCTAACGGCGGTGACTACCATGCATATAAAAATAGTTTATAATATCAATGTAAAAAAACTATTTTTAATGTCGCCAATGCATGGGCTGATCTGACTGTACCAAACCTAAAAAATGGGTTAAATAAACTATGGCCTGAAATAATACCGTTTGAACCTGAAGAGTCTGATACTGTTAGTGTAGAAGAAATTGTGCAAGTTTGTAATGGACTGAATAGTGAAATATTATCAACGAAAGAAGTAATGGATTCGTAAGAAAGCGATAAACAGGATATGGAGTATTTTAAATTTTAAATGATGATCAAATTATTTTTAATGTCACTATCGTTGATGAAGAAGTTGATGACGACGTCGAAGATTCAGTGCTTGACTTAATTAAAACCATCAACTAGTCACGCAGAAGTAGAAGYAATGTTATCAAAATGCATTGAATGATTTGAAGTATAAGAGGAGGCAAATGCAATACAGGTCTTACTTCTTCGTAAAATACGAAATATATGGCCACTCAAAAAGCTCGTGCCTCAAAAAAAAAAAAAGAAGAAGATGACAGATTATTTTGTTTAATATTTTTTAGAATGGTATTCTTTATGTTAATTCATAATATTATACATTATTAGTAGGTATTTATTATTTATTATTTTTGTCAGAAAATAATGTAGTAAAATATATAAGTTTATTGAAACATTAACCAAGTTTCTACTGTAATAATATTAATTTATATTATGTAGCTTTCAAATATTATAGGCTACTGCAATAAAACCCAAATAATTTAATTTATTTATGTTAAATTAATTATTTTTTTTAGTTACACCAATATTAAGGTACAACTTTAAAAGTAAGTTATTTGATTAAATATTAATTTATCTTTATTTGTTGTGATGACATTACATTTTACATGCAAATTAAAATAGGAAAACATACATTATCATAATTTAAAGTAAAATATACGATTTGTTATGATTTTAAGAAAATGCAAAGTATAAAAACCTGTTTTCCTACAAAACATTCTAGAGTAACTTACAGCATATTTGCTTATGAGGGCAGTATTCAACAGTACTATTAATGGGTTGCAAGAAACTAGCAATATCTACTATATTTATGATGGCAATCCTA